GGTCGCCATGGAGGATGTCACAGTCATGGTGGGAGACATCATGGTCAAAGTGGTGGCAATCCTGGCAAAAGGCATCATTTCAATGGCGGACGTGGAGGTAACAGCAAGGGACATTATCATCATAAGGTCATTGTTGAGCATGTCAGTGCCCCTGAAATTGCGACAACTAGTGGATAGATAGATTCTTCCAGTTGAGAATTTTAGCAGTCCTCTGAATTGAAGAAGCAACAGTGTGTTCATGTATTACTATATTTGGAGAGAGACATAATTTCCTTTGGTGTACTCGGTGTATTGTGCTAAATATTAAACCAGCTTGAGTTGTTTCGTTAAAGGTGGACTGCAGTAATATATATAATTTGAGTGTAAATTTTCATAGAGTAATCCTGTGGAGAAGAAAAAAAGACGGTGGAGTTGTGGTGGCTCAATCAGCAGTCGGAGATAGTGACGGAGGTTGGGAAAAGTGAACTCAGATCTCGGCGGTGATGGGAGGAGGGAGATTGACAATGGGAGGATGGAGATCGGCGGAGGGATTCAGAGAGAGAGAGACATAGAGAGATGAGAGGCGGTGATGAGTGAGTGTGAGGTTCAACCTGTGTGAGTGAAAGGGTTGGTTTATATATATATAAAGAGGGGTAAAATGGTAATTTTACTTTGGAGAAATTCGGGGCCAGGGATGGGAACGGGCCGAGGCTTGAACATTGATCACCGTCCCCGGCCCGAAACTGATCGGGGATTTAATTTCGAATACCATCCCCGTCCCCACGGGGATATTTTTCGGGAAAAAACCATTCTAATCGGAGTGAGGAGATCAGGTCCCCGTCGGGTCAGGTTCAAATTGCCATCCCTACTTCCAACTGCCTTGATTCTGTCCTCAGACTCTCATAATCCATCTTGGTCCTAGACTCCCAACCTTAGACCCCCACACTAGACTTAGTCCATCGAGGCAAGATGAACATGCCTTGTAAAGTTGTCTTTGCACTATATCATCATGCCCAAGAATTCTGGTCCTGCCTATCATCCTACCTAGGAATTCTGGTCCTGCTTGGGCTGGACTTATTTTAGCCTCTCACAATATCCATTTAGTTTGGAAGGTATTTAAGACCCCTAATAAACCATCACAAATTCACCCTAGTAGAATAATAGGTATCAATTTTTAATTTGTCACATATTTAATTATTGAAGACTTTACTTATTATATCATTAGAAATATAATTAAAGATGTTGAATTTCAACACAGTTGAAATAGAGAAATATAGCAAAACTCTAATTTTAATCCATAAAGTCTTTTTCAATTGTTTTCATTTTGCAGAGGTATTTACCCTTTGAAGTTTGTCCATTAGGTTGTGCGCAAGTTGCACACATCGGATTAGGGATGGCAATTTGAACCCAGCCCGACGGGGACCCGATCCCCCGACCCCCGATTAGAATGGTTTTTTCCCGAAAAATACTCCTATGGAGAAGGAGATGGTATTCGAAATTAAATCCCCGATCAATTTCGGGTCGAGGACGGTGATCAGTGTTTAAGCCCCGGCCCGTCCCCGTCCCTAGCCCCGAGTTTCCCTGAAGTAAAATTACCATTTTACCCCTCTATATATATAAACCAACCCTTTCACTCACACAGGCTGAACCTCACACTCACTCATCACCGCCTCTCATCTCTCTCTATCTCTCTATTTCTAAAACCCTCCGCCGATCTCCCTCATCTCCCTTATCTCCCTCTTCCCATCACCGCCGAGATCTGAGTTCACTTTTCCCGACCTCCGTCACTATCTTCGACCGCCAATTAAGCCACCACAACTCCACCGTCACTTTTTCCACACAGGCTGAACCTCACACTCACTCATCACCGCCTCTCATCTCTCTCTATCTCTCTATTTCTAAAACCCTCCGCCGATCTCCATCATCTCCCTTATCTCCCTCCTCCCATCACCGCCGAGATCTGAGTTCACTTTTCCCGACCTCTGTCACTATCTCCGACCGCTAATTAAGCCACCACAACTCCACCGTCACTTTTTCCTCTCCAACGGCGGTGAGGCCAAGCTTGCCGAATCACCGCCACCATCACCACTGTTTGCGGCAGTTGCAGTGACACCATCCGGCGGTGAGGCCAAGCTTCGCAGATCTCCGTCACGGCCTTCGCCCTAGATCTGGAATTTTCCCTCTCTCTCTCTCTCTCTCTCTCTCTCTCTCTTTCTATATGTTGTTGTTGATGATGATGATGATGATGATGAACAGATCTCTCTCTTTCTATGTTGTTGTTGTTGATGATGATGATGAACAGATCTGTTAGATTTGATTTTTTTTATTTTTACTTTTATTTTTATTTTTTTACATTTGAGCTCATTAGATCTATTAATGGTGATGATGATGAACAGATCTGTATGATAATGATGAACACATCTCTCTCTCTCTACGTTGTTGTTGTTGTTGTTGTTGTTGTTGATGAACAGATCTGTTGGATCTATTTTTTTTTTTTTTTGATCATGAAAAAAAGGGATCTGAGATGTCATCACACCCCCTGTGGGCCCTAGGGTCCCTGCCAAGGATCAGGACCGAGGACGGGGGAATTCCACAGTCGATGATTGGGGACGAAGAGTGTGATCCCCGGCTTCGCTCTGCCCCGTTGCCATTCCTACATCAGATGCGTTCATCTATGTGTGGTGGAACACATTTTATAGTTTGCATGATATTTCATTTTGTTCGTTGCGATTAAAACTTTAAGATGTTATAATTTGTACTTTATACATCTATTCTTTTATGAAATTTAGAATAAATTATAAATATATTTTTTAAAATTTGTTTAAAATACAGATTATCTCTTATAATTTGAAAAAATACATATATTTCTTTGTCAGGATTTTTTATTTAACAAAATTAATTAAAAAAAATAGAATTGTTAACTAGTTCACTATACAATAATAAAATTGGTTTTTTTTTATCCAACTCCCTCACTAAAGGTTCTTAATAGTATAAGGACACAACAAAAATTGAGCAAGGTTGTGCTATCTAGTCTGGAGTTCTATTCAGACAAAACAATCAAGGGATTGGGAAATCCACGAGTTCGGATTCACTTTCATCCTTCTATTTGTTCTTGAACAGGTATCTAATCATATCCAAGCGTCTTAATAGGTAGGTTTAGATGTCAATCAGAGTTGGACGAGCTGCAATACTCAGGATGAGAGACTCAATCAGATATTAGTTAACAACAAAATTGCCACTTGTTTGGCTTGTTTAGTTTGTTTGGTCTTTTCTTCTCGGGTCACTTTCCTTCCCAATCAAAAGTTACCCGCTTTGTTCAACTCAAGGCAAGACCTGTTAGGATCAAAGACACCCAGAAAATTATCTCACACACACAGAGAACACAATATTTACGTGGTTCGGCCCAATGCCTACATCCACGGACAGAAATGAGAATTATCACTAAAATGGAGCAAAAATACAATCGAGGATGGGGAACGAAGAGTGTGATCCCCGACTTCGCTCTGCCCCGTCGCCATTCCTACATCAGATGCGTTCATCTACGTGTGGTGGAACACATGTTATAGTTTGCATGATATTTCGTTTTGTTCGTTGCAATTAAAACTTTAAGATGTTATAATTTGTACTTTATACATCTATTCTTTTATGAAATTTAGAAAAAATTATAAATATATTTTTTAAAATTTGTTTAAAATACAGATTATCTCTTATAATTTGAAAAATTACATATATTTCTTTGTCAGGATTTTTTATTTAACAAAATTAATTAAAAAAAAATAGAATTCTTAACTAGTTCACTATACAATAAAAAAATTGGTTTTTTTTATCCAACTCCCTCACTAAAGGTTCTTAATAGTATAAGGACACAACAAAAATTGAGCAAGGTTGTGCTATCTAGTCTGGAGTTCTATTCAGACAAAACAATCAGGGGATTGGGAAATCCACGAGTTCGGATTCACTTTCATCCTTCTATTTGTTCTTGAACAGGTATCTAATCATATCCAAGCGTCTTAATAGGTAGGTTTAGATGTCAGTCAGAGTTGGACGGGCTGCAATACTCAGGATGAGAGACTCAATCAGATATTAGTTAACAACAATATTGCCACTTGTTTGGCTTGTTTAGTTTGTTTGGGTTTTAAGTTATTTTTTCTTTTCTTCTCGGGTCACTTTCCTTCTCAATCAAAAGTTACCCGCTTTGTTCAACTCAAGGCAAGACCTGCCCTTGCTTCTGCTTCAGTTTAGCCTTCCTTTTTCCCCGGAGCTTCATGGGCATTGCCTCATTCCCCAATCAGATATTTAGATGTGAGTTATACACCGCGAGAAGCAAACCGGGCTAATGGAACAAGTTAGTAAAATAGCTAAGCTCTTCCAAGGGAGATTCTAAAGGAATTATAGAAAAAAATGATAAAATTTATGACTACTCTCTTACAAAATAATAAAATTATAAGAATTGTTAATTGAAATATATTTCTAACATTATTAAAAATTATTAATTGACTTAATAAATATGGCATTATTTTTGTCAAAATAGACCATCTATTTTCTTTGAGACAAAAAAATAAATAAATTACACTTATCAAGTTAACATAATTTTGTTCATGAATACATGAAAATCTTATAAAATAAACAGTTAGAATCAATAAAAAAAAGACCCCTTGATGAACCTAACAAGTCCACAATACTCTCTAATCTCTAATTTAAATTTAGATTAGAGAGAGAAAAAGTAACACGTTTTCTTTCACTTTCCTATATCTCATTAATCCATGTTAAGACTTTATTTAAATCATAAATTGGAATATAAATTTAACTTAAGAATTTATTCAAACACTGCTTAAAGGTGACTTAAGGATTAATCAATCTAACATACAGTAGACCTAATAGGGCCGACATTAAAAAAAAAAAAAAAAAACCGCCAGACGTGTTAATGTCCAATGTCTATATCTATATCTATATCTATATCGGTGACTTAGCCATCTAGCACACGTTAACGCCTAGTCTGAATTCATCAATAAGAAAAAGACTGTTAGGAGAGAAGAGTCCCAATCGTCATTCAATCCCATAATTATTTCTTGGAGAACACGAATAAACTTATGACAAACACATGAATAAAGGTCACATGTTCATATCTGTAAGTCTCTCTCCTCCGTTCTCTTGCTCCCCAAGAAAAAAAAGGTACACTCCAAGTAAAAGCATAACCGACCACTCAGCCCATTTTGCCTATAAATATCTGAGCTCCCAGCATTGTCACTCCTCACACAATATTCATTCACCAAGCAATCTTCAGAGATTTAGACAAACACTTGAACAACAAAGATGTCTGGGTGCGGTGAACATCATCATCCATTCTATCATGGTGTTCACAACTTAGGACACCACAGTCCCGGTGGACATCACGGAGGTGCAGCTTGTCACGTCGGAGGGCATCACGGTCACGGCTGGGGACATCTTATTTACCAACACCACGGTCATGGCTGGGGACATCATATTCATCAGCATAGTCACGGTTATCGCGGACATGGTGGCCGTGGTGGTTGTCACCATGGAGGACGTCACGATCATGGTGGGAGACATCATGGTCACGGAGGTGGCAGTCCTGGCAAAAGGCACCATTGCCATGGCAAACCTGGAGGTCACGGCAAGGAACATTATCATCATGTGGCCATTGTTGAGCATGTCAGTACCCCTGAAATTGCAACGACTAGTGGATAGATAGATTCTTCCTCTGTCAGTCATGAATTTTAGCAGTCCTCTGAATTGAAGAAATAAGAAGCAGCAGTGTGATCATGTGTTATTAGATTTGAAGAGAGACAGAAAGATAATTTCCTTTAGTTGTGCTGTGTGTATTGTGCTAAATATTGTACCAGCTTGAGTTGTTTCATTGTACTATACACCAAAATAAAAGGTGGGCTGCAGTAATATATATAATTTTGAGTGTAAATTTACATGGAGTAATGTGATACATATACAATTTTTGAATCCATACTTGTGCGAACCATTGTTGGATTAAATCAACAATTATTTATGGTTTAACATGCTTAAAAAGGAGTGACTCAGTGCTTGAACTTCCCACTAAAGCAGGGTCTGTTAACAGGACATAAATTTAACGTGCTTATATTACCACAAAAGAAATTAAAACATCAAAGACAACTCCAAACTCTTACGTAACCATACATAGCCAATAATCATGAGTTACTCCGACCTCTCCTAGTTGGCGGCAGTATCTTTAAGCATTTCCTTCAGCTCGCCAGTCTAAATGACTGACCAACCCATCAAAACAATGTATGATGTATCCCAGGCTTAAGAAGAAAAACAAATTTGATATGACAATACCTGGTGCATGTTGAGAATGATGTCTGATCCTCCGATGAACTCCCCCTTGATAAATATTTGTGGAAATGTGGGCCAGTTGCTGTAAGGATAGACCACACGACTAATTGAAACAAGCACAAACAAACTACATGTTTTATCGACTTTGGACCAAATGGGTTGCTAGGTAGGTAATGATCAGTACATGGCTTAAACAGCAATTCCATTTGCAAATTCTTGATAGTAATTTGTATCACTAAAATATGACAATTGAGCGCACTTTTCACAAATAATCCCAAAAACATGTGTAACTGATTCACAGGCAACATCGTGGATATTTGACATAAACAGCATCCTAAAAAATTCATTCAAGATTTGGCCATGTCTATCAAGCTAAGCTATCTTTTGAAAAAAATATTTCATATACCTGAATCTCAACCATTTATATTTCATGTATCTTTTGAAAACAAATCACCCAATCACATCTCTCTCAACTTTTTCACACGTCGTTTCGTAAAAAGCCAAAAAAACCAACTAAAATAACCAATTTCCAAACAAAGCCTAAATATTGAAAGTTAAAATAAAGGAAATTTGATCAATTAACGGGCTTCTGAACATATGCTGCTGTGGCCATGTATTCTTAGCCACTGCTGGATAAGGATCATTCAATTAAGTAATTTCTAAATCCACTTGAAATGAATGCTATTCAAATGCCGCCTAAGGAAATTCTTTGAATTGCTGCCACAGTATGTTAAACGAAAATGGATATACTCTCTGATTCCAATATCATGCTTCTTGGAACGAATTTTCTGCCTCAACACAACTTAGAAAACAAAACCAAATCAAAATAAAACAAGAACAAAAACAATATCAAAAACAAAAAATACATTGTTTCCAGTAAGAGAATATTCAGTAACATCAGCTACTTCTAGTTCTATAGCACAAGGACAATTGCCAAAAAACACAGTTTGAATTAAGAAAACATGCAATCATACACCTTGAATGTAAACAAAACATGTAAACTAAGATCCCAACTTATTACAAACATTGTCCCTGGTGCAAACCCAAACATCCCAATTATAAACAAAAATGTTGTGGGTGGTATTTGTTGAGGTGGCCTATAGATGGCCTTTTTGGAAGAACGCGGGTACTGAGATGTCAAGGTAATCACCAGTGAGGGAGGAGGTGAGAGATCAAGAAGCCTTATAAGAGAGAAAGGAGGGCGGTGCAGAGGTCTTGCTGTATACCAGAGATGGTAAAGATGGTTGATAATGGCAGTGATGCTTCAACGTCTGCATAGAGGCCTTCTTATATAGGATGGTCAAACCATGGAGGCCAACTCACTCCTGGAGAGGTAGCTGACCCTCCTTGTTTCAACAAGAATGAGGTATCCCAACCACCTCTACATCCTAAGATCTAGGGATAGCAATTTAAACCCAGCCCGACGGGGACCCGCCTCCCCGATCCCGATTCGAGCGGTTTTTCTCTGAAAAATACTCTCGACGGGCGGGGGAGAGTATTTAAAAATGAATCCCCGATGACTTTCGGGCCGGGGATGGTAATACATTTCCCAACCCCGTCCCTGGCCCCGGCCCGGACCCCCGGCCCGACCACAACCCCGCTTCTCCCCGAAATAAAATTACTACTTTACCCCTGTGTATATATATATATATATGCATGTCTTTATGTTGGCACACACAATCACTTTGCTGCTGTTGGCGTGAGAAAAATGAAGTGAGAGGGAGGGAGGGAGGGAGCCAATCCTCCGCCGTCGCCCATCTCCTCCGCCGAGAGAAGAGAGCCGTCCTCTTCACAGCGCTGATCTCCTCTACCTACTCCTTCGCTGATCTCCTCCTCCGCCCTCCATCGCCGATCTCCTCCGCCCCAAAAAACCCAATTACAAACAAAAATATTGTGGGTGGTATTTGTTGAGGTGGCCTACAGATGGTCTTTTGGGAAGAACGCGGGTACTGAGATGTCAAGGTAATCACCAGTGAGAGAGGAGGTGAGAGATCAAGAAGCCTTAGAAGAGAGAAAGGAGGGCGATGCAGAGGTCTCGCTGTATACCAGAGATGGTAAAGATGGTTGAAACGGTAGTGATGCTTCAACGTCTGCATAGAGGCCTCCTTATATAGGATGGTCAAACCATGGAAGCCAGCTCACTCTTGGAGAGGTAGCTGACCCTCCTTGTTTCAACAAGAATGAGGTATCCCAACTACCTCTACATCCTAAGATCAAATCTTGGGATTTGTATCATAAGAGCAACAATGTAGGCATGACGGGGGGCTTCAATGTTACATATGATACAATTTCCAAAATATCATGTCTTGATTAGAGCACCTGTCTCTCTAAGACTGATCAAGGTGCAAACACCCTCGAGGTATGGGGATGGGAAGGCACCAAAATGAATCCCTAACTCTAGCCTCTAAGCCACATACCTCCAATGATGCCCCAAGCAAAGATCCCAAGGCCTAACACTGAACTTAGGTCATCAAGGTATTGGATGATGGTGTTGGAGATGTCTTGATCAGTAGGAGACAGCTTTACAGAGAAAGAGGAGACGAGACATAGTAGGGTCACGGTCTAGCAGAGGACCCCTCAGTCAAGCCAAATGGGATACAGAGCCATGTTGCTACCGAGCACAGTTAGTCGAGCAGGGATGCCTCGAAATCTCGACACAATTATGTGGTGCTCTGGCCACGCCTTGGGATGCCCTATCTTGGTTCATCTTGTGGTGCCATGGCTAAAAGCTAAGGCATTGAGCATGTTAGCTAGCCAAGATAACATACTTGGTGGTTTCTATGCCCCTGCTTAAGCTAGACTCACAACCCCAATAGTTTATTTTGGACGATGACACGCACCAGTACGGATTGCCACTCGACAATCCCTTGTTTGAGTTGGAGATGATATGGTGCCAGTAAGGCCAACCACAAGGTGAAGGATATTCAGGTACAACAAATGTTAATTATCACCGTAATTTGAGTACATCTTGTGTTACTAAGAAGTGCCAATGGGAGGGTGCCTTGTATATGAGCAAGAAGCTCTTAATGCTCTGTAGATGTATACCAATGCTAAATGAGTGGTCTAAATAGTATAATACTAAGCACCAAGTTACCTGTATGCTTTGGCAGCATTCTTAAGCTCAGGACCTTCCAATATGTTTCTGGCACTCAAATGAACATCTGCAAAAGGCATATCAATGGTAAGAATGCCGTAATAACCTAAAGCAGTCAAGTCAGTAAAGAGCAAGGTCAGCTCAAATTCAATAAAGTGCAAGGTCAGATCAAAGTTCAACAAACAGGACGCCCAAATGTAACCCCAGCTATCACATATAACTTAAGTCAGCGACTCATTTAATGCTTCTATTGTGTCACCTTCTTGTCCTTACCTATTTAAACTTTTAAGCAAACCAAATGGTCATCTATAACTATATAGCCTCGCACATTTATTCAACTGCAAATATAATGCACTTCAATTTTCATTTTCCAGGCATGACTAAACCAAATACTCATTATGGACCACATAAATTATCCAAGCTTATTTAAAAGATACCATTGCTGAACTGAACCAAGGAATGGAATTTACAAAAATAGTCGTAAAACTAAGAAAGAGAACACTTACTATATTCCTTCAACACTCTTACAGATAGTGAGCTGAATCCACATCGGGGAAGATCAGGCACCCCTTTCATGTAAAGCATCACTGGGTTGTCCTTGGCATCCTACGCTAAAAGCTAAAAGCAATTAATAAAAACAGACTCTTAACAAATAAACAACTTAATTTTTTTGCTTGATAATTAAAAGAAAGAATACTTGAGGCTCTGTATCTCTAATACAGAAGGTACAGATGACTCGTGTCTACCTGCTCTACAATATCCTTCAAAGAAAGGCCAGAACTCTCAAGCTTATTAGTGGGTCTGAAGTCCTTGTGTATGTCCGGATCATTTGGAACAGTAGTTGAGTATTGTATCCCATGGTGGTTAAAGGATCCAGCTGCCTACCAACAATTAAAGAAAAAATATTAGTGTCATTTATATGGCCGTCAAAATTTATTTTCTCTAAAGATAAAACCACACACTTGTGGCTTAAAATTTCAAGAAAATCCTTTTTTTTGGTTTTCTAAGTGGAGTTTAACAATGCAAGCATTTTTGTTTACAATTTTATGATTAAGGATCCAAGAAATCTAGAATCAGATGGCTATGTTATCCTAAGTAGTTTATTTGACTGTAAGTCCTTTGAAAATTAGAGAAACATGAATAGAAAAGAAACAATTCAAACAAAGGAAATCTTGGCCCAATAATCTTGATATTAGGGATTCAAGTCTCGAGGCAACCATTTTGTGCACTATGCCAAACGTTAGGTACGTTCTCAATCTTTCTCCTTCCAAACACACATTAATGTGTTCAATCAAAGGGAATCCATTGGTTTTGAAGCAAATAGAGAAATAGCCAAAAGGAAAATAAAATAAAATAAAATAAAAATTACCGTAAAACCAAAAAATAAAAAATTTAAAGGCATAGGAGGAAATAGAGGAGAACTAAATTAAGAAGAAAATGGACCATCAGTAGAATAATAGAGTCTCTTAACGTTTCAAGACAGATGATACCTGAGTTATGGGTAAAGAGAGCATTAGTGTCTTCCAGTGTTTCAGGGAACAAACACACACACACACTACATGTATAAGAAGATTGTATGATACATGTGGGATTAAGAAGATTATAACACTATATATATATACCCTATATATATATGATGAATTTTATAAAAGAAAAATTTAATGTGTTAAGGCCCACCCTGATCACCACCTCCCTCTGCCCTTGTTGGGAACCCTTCCAATTGAGTTTCAACGGACCATTGGCACTCTTCAATATCTCTCTCACACTAAACCAAAAATCTCCTTTTCAGTAGATCAGGTCTCCCAATTTGTACATAGCCCAACTGATCTTCAATGGACAATGGTCAACAACATATTTTATGTTATCTAAAATTATCCAATGAATTAGATTTATTTCTTAGCCATTTCAACTCTCTTTCTCCATAATGTTTCCCGGATGGCTATTGGGGTGGGTGCCTAGATGACCGCTGCTCAACCCATCATTCTCAGTCCCAAGTTTACTCTCTCGGGCCATCAAAAAGCAAAATATTGAATCTAAATATTGAGGCCTCGGAAATGCTTATTGCTATATTAGTGTGGACGGTGGATACAAGACCCACTGAGCTTTGTGGGTGTGTGTTACATATCAGAATCCATAACTTTATCAAACAATTTGTAGAGTCTAATAATATCAGATCATATTGTTGTAGCTATGCGAGATTTCCAGGAAATTATCCTTCAGTTTCTTTCTTTTAATAACATAATTGAATGTTTATATTAGAATCAGATAATCGCAGTATCTCTAGATCAAATCAATCAATCATTTAAACCAAATTGACTACCGGAAAAAGCAATTAACAGCAAAATAAACTTTAAACAAAGCCCTAACTAACCTTTGTACCGTAATTGGAAGCGACGGAGCGAGAATAGAGTATGGTGGATGGCCGAAACGGCGACGGAGACCGCCAGGGAGAAGAGATGTTGGCGGCGGCGGCGAAGAAGCGGTGGAGCTGTGTAGAGAGTCTTCTCCACATGGCTTTAGCTTTGGTTTTGGACTATGGTTATGGAGTATTGGTTTCTCTGATCTGAAGTAGGGATTGTGTCGACTCGCTCGTGTGAACGAGTATTTATGGTGCCCTGGTCACGCCTCGCCCTCCCGCCCCCTCCCTCCAACGTCGAGTTTGTACTCTCGCGCACAATCTTTTAGTAGTACACTTGCTAAAAATTTAAAGTTTCGACACTTAAACAAATTAATTTAGGTTGTTTTGCGAGGTGATTTATAATCCACTTATCGGATTATAATTTATCCTTTTCTTTTATAAAAGGTTGATTATAATTAGTTTGTAATCAACTTCTAACAAAAAAATTTATTATAAGTATCTTTTTAAAATAGTTTTCAAACTTCAAAAATTTTAAATTGCCATTAATTTAAAATTTTCATCCATTTCCATTATCTACTTGAATTTAATAAATTTTTAAACATATATTCACCCTTGCTTTTTTCACTTCACATATATTTTAAATTTAAATTTAATCGCACAATATTACCATTGCTATTTATTCAACATCCATCAAACTAAATGTCCATTATGATCCTCCCAAGAACTTGAGCACAAATCCTTCCTGTTTTTTCATTCCCCTTTTAACTATCATTACCCCTATCTTTATGATCACTACCATTTTTTTTTTGCCCTCTCACGACCTACCCCTGTTGAAAAAAAATAATTTTTTGGTGACTTTAATTTAATATTTAAGTGTAGTGACTTTAATTAAATATTAAAATGAGTCTCAACCATTTATTATGTTGGGTCTAAGTGGGCCAAAAAATTATTGAGAATTGAATAAGAAATTGTCAAGAAATTGCCTTGAAATTGCCTCATGATGTTAGATTCATGAATGAGATTTTAAGGGTATTTAAATCCTTTTTCTTGGTTAAAGGGTGTGAACCCATTGGGCATCCAAACTTTTCATCTTTCTAGAAAAGGGTTATGGATCCTGGTTAATGGGGCTTTAATGACCAGCCATAAAGGCTGGTGGCTCTTCCTCTCTCCCATATACATGTATAAATTGAGACTCTCCTGTCAAGTCTCAATATAGAAATTTTTGCTTCCATTTTACAAGTCAGTTTGTCAGAAAGTTCCTACTGTGAGAGAGTGCTGCCACTGTTTTTGTTCGCTAAGCTAGACAGAGAGTGCTTCTGCCGTAGCTGGTTTTTGGCCGTCGTATCCTGGGAGACAGACGCTGGGATTCCTCAAGCACTCGACCCGTGAGGCGGCGAAATCTGTTTTAAAGAAATTGCTACCGTGCAGGCTTCGGTTTGGTTTCTTTATCTTTTTATTGTTTCGTGTATTTCTGTTGAAATTTAGTTGTAATTATCAGCATATGTTCTTGGTATATAATTTTGATTCCTTCATAAATCTATTTATTTAATTTCACAATTTGAACAACAAGTTTTTGTTAGTTTAAATGTTTATTATGAATTAATTTCATTCATAACTCATGAGTATTGAACTTTATTTTAAAGTTTTAATTAAATTGGCATTTTAATTCCTTAGACTTTACAAAGTCTATAGAGACAACTCCATTCGAGAGTAGTTGTCGTATGGAATTATGTCTATGACGAATATGTCTAGACTTTCCATTATATATATTGCTCTGTGCCCTACCAATTGCAGATTGACTATCACAATGAATACAAATAGTTGGCACAGGTTTAGACCAACGTGGCAAATCTTCAATGAAAATGGCGAAACTATTCAGCTTTTCCCGCTGCTTTATCAAAAGCAATAAACTCTGATTCCATCGTTGATTTAGATATACACATTTGCTTCGAAGATTTCCAAGACACGGCTGCCCCACCAAGAGTGAACACATATCCACTGGTGGACTTTGAGTCCTTTATATCTGATATCCAACTCGCGTCACTATAGCCTTCTAGCATCGCTGAATATCGAGTATAATGCAGCCCATAATTCCAAGTGTAGCGTAAATACCTTAACACCCGCACAATACCCGTGAGCATTTTATTTTTCCAATTGTAACTAGGAAAAAAAAAATCAGAAGATGGAAACAATTGACATAGATACATGTCGAGTTGAAAGCGAAAAGTGTACTCGAATTGATATCAAAGATTGCAGCATTCTTTTGGCAAATTCATTTGACAAACGTTATTCTTGCCGCCAAGAGCATCTCAAGAGTGCTGCATATGTCGTGTCCCCAGAAAACTTTGAGAATTAAATGAAAAAGCTTATACACCTCAGACGATTTCTATAGGCCTCCTTCACCATGGCAATACAGACTTCAAAGATATGGAAGAGCGAAAGACGAAATATTTAAAGGCATTTTCTTGATCATACTGTTGTTCAAATTGTGAAATTAAATAAATAGATTTATGAAGAAATCAAA